GGGTGTGTATACAAATTAATAGAGTATTTGACATTAGAAGTACTTAATAAGTGTTCACCTGTTTCTAAAAATAAATGTTCATTGTCTTTCTGCATCCATGTCTGTGTGAGGGTGTTGGATCCCCCAGAACTGTAGTTACAGACAGTTATGAGCTGCCATGTGGGTGCTGGGAATTGAACCGGGGTCCTCAGGAAGAGCAGCCAGTGCTCTTAACCACTGAGCCATCTCTCCATGCCTTGTTCATTGTCTTTCTAAAAGCATTTGCTGTTTAAAAAAAAAGCTAGTTTGTATTGGTGGATAAATTTTCATTATGGTTGTTTGTGAGACAGGATCTGATGTATTCCAGGCTGGCTTGGAACTTCCCTATATATCCAAGGGTAACTTTAACCTTAAAGGCATGCACCACTCTTTTTTTATGCAATGCAGAGGATTGAACCCAGGACTGTATGCATGCTAGGCAAGCTCCCTACCACGTAAACTACATCTGCAGCCCCCATGGAGTTAAATTATTTGTTGCAAGCTGGTATAGTGACTCACACTTGCAATGTCAAGAAAAATGTGATTTTTGTTTGTTTAGTTGTTGTTTTTTGAGACAGGGTTTCTATGTGTAGATTTGGAGCCTGTCTTAGAACTAGATCTTGTAGACCAGGCTGGTCTCAAAAGCACAGAGATCCACTTGACTCTGCCTCCCAAGTGCTGGGATTAAAGGCGTGAGCTACTACCACCCATCAAAAAATGTGATTAAAAAAAAAAAGAATCAGGAATTCTTCCACCAGACGTTTATTCTCTCCCTTATGATCCCTTTGGGTCACTGGTAATAATTTTTCTTGATATATGGTTAGAAATCCAACTATACTAAATCATTAGAAGTCTAATTTATAGCATGTTGAGGCAGGAGGATACATAGGAGATTGACACCAGACTAGGCTACAGATTGAGACTCTCTCAAAAATCAAGTCAGAAGATGTTGTTGTTGCAGATTGTTGTATCTTTGAGACTTTTCCAAAGGTGGTGAGTGTTTCCTTTCGTTTTTTTTACGATACTGGGATGGAACTCCGGGTCTTGGGTATGTATATGCAATACCAATCTACTCCCTTCCCACTCCTAAAGGGGATGAAATGTTTAGAGTTGTGAGACATGTACAAGAATTAGTCAGTTCTTTGGAGCAGACAACACAAAACCACCTTCTGTTTAGTGACCTACTTGTAGGAGAAGGGTGAACCTGGAAAGCACTGAGAGGGAATGTGTCCATCAAGATTCTGGTCTTAGTCTGGTGGTGGTGGTGCATGCCTTTAATGCCTGCACTTGGGTGCAGAGGCAGATCTCTGAGTTCAAGGCCAGCCTGATCTACAGAGTGAGTTCCAGGACAGCTGGGACTGTTTCACAGAGAAACCCTGTCTTGAAACCCCCCCCCCCAAAAAATGGGGTTCTCATGATGAATGTGTTGCTTTGTTTTTTAAATAAATCTTTCCCCCTTCTTTCTAGCTGCTCAGATAAAGAATTTGATGAGCCAACTTGGAACTAAGCAGGACTCAAGCAAGCTCCAGGAAAATTTGTAAGTAGCTTCCCAACAAGGTTGAGGGATTTTTGTTGTTGTTTGTTTGTTTGTTTTGTTTTTTGAGACAGGGTTTCTCTGTGGCTTTGGAGGCTGTCCTGGAACTAGCTGTTGTGTGTAGACCAGGGTGTTCTCGAACTCACAAGTGCTGGGATTAAAGGCATTGCCACCTCCGCCTGGCCAAGGTTGAGTTTTGTGAGGCTCTTTGAGGACATAGTGTCCTTCCACTTTGGATCTGTGACGTCAGAACAGGAGGCAGTGGGTTCGGTGGTAATAGGTGGGCCTGGAAGAGGGGAGCAAAGCATATTAATGAATGGATCCAACGTTCTGAGGCCCTGAACTATTTCTTTTCTTCCCTTGGTCAGGTTTGCAGAGTAATCTAGCAAAGCAGAGAAGGAACTCTCTTCACTCTTCAATTGTTTCAAGGAGCTGTGTCAATGTTTCCCTGTGTCGATGACTCTCCTGTTGACACAGGACTCCTGACGATGTTGTCTAGTTGGATTTTGAACTCTAAATAAGACAAATTCACTCTCAGTGATGCAAAGGGACTATAAGTGAGAGAATCAATGGTCCAGTGGGAGAGCTGATTGGTTTTTTTTTTCTATCACATTTTTCTTGACTTTACTTTTACTTTTAAAGTTCTATTCTAGGGGCTGGAGAGATGGTTCAGTGATTAAGAGTACTCACTGCTCTTCCAGAAGACATGGGTTCAATTCCTAGCACTGACATATTGGTTCACAACCGTCTATGGCTTCATTTCCATGGGATCCAGCTCTCTTTTCTGACCTCTGTAGGCACTGCTCACATGTAGTGCACAGGCATGCATGAGGGCAAATCACCCAAATACATAAAATAATAAAGTAAAAATTTTATTCTTTGGGGCCAGCAGGATGGTTCAGCAAGTAAAGAAAAGTGCTTGCCATCAAGCCGGGGATCTGAGTTTGATTTTTGTTTTGTTTTGTTTTGTTTTTGTTTTATGAGACAGGGTTTCTCTGTATTGTTTTGGAGGCTGTCGGTCCAGCCCGGCCTCGAACTCACAGAGATCCACCTGCCTCTGCCTCCAGAGTGCTGGGATTAAAGGCGTGCGCCACCATCGCCTGGCCTGAGTTTGATTTTTGTAACGTATATAGTGGAAGGAAAAAATCTAACTCTGGAAAGTTATTCTCTAATGTCAGCATATTCCACATGCATTGTGGTACCCCTGTGCCCACATGCATACACACACACAAATATATATATTCACACATACATATAATGTTTATTTATTTTTCCCCCCAAGACAAGGTCTCAGGCTGGCCTCAAACCCATAGAGATCCACCTGCCTCTCCCTAGTGCTAGGATTAAAGACGTGTGCCACCACCAGGTTCTCTATCTTTAAAGTGTGCTGAGCAGCATTTCTTGTTTCCTCTCTTAGACTCTGTGAAGTGAGAAAGTGATTGCTGTCACAGGGAGCTATTCTAGGGAGAGGTGACCTGTCTGCATATGTTAGTGTTCCCAGGATGGTCTGGCTTCTGACTGGCTTCCTCTGTTGTCTCTCTTGTTTTTTTTTTTTTTTTTTTTTTTTTTGGTTTTTCGAGACAAGGTTTCTCTGTATTGTTTTGGAGGTTGTCCTGGAACTCGCTTGGTAGACCTGGTTTGGTCTCAAACTCACAGAGATCCACCTGCCTCTGCCTCCTGAGTGCTGGGACTAAAGGTGTGCGCCACCAACGCCCAGCTTGTTTTTTGTTTTTTGTTTTTTTTTTTTGTTTTGCTAGAGAATGAACCCAGTATCTTGTACAAGAGGTAAATGCTCTAAATGGCAGAGGGCTTTGTTTGGGAGGGAAGAGCTAGAAAGTCAGGCATAAGGAGCAAGGGAGGGAAGCAAAGGATAAATCCACGAAAGAATCCACTTTTGAACAAAAGATTAGGAATATATCTTTGGAGTTTTTTCCTAGGTACATAGGAAGCTATGCTTTTAATACATGTTTCATCTAACTGCCCTAGTCAGTGGACTATGGTAGGAACTGACCATGCAGAGCTCCTGGGAAATAGTGAGAATTTTAAGTGAGTTCAGTGTATTAAAGCCACTAGGGTTGGGTTTAGGCAGTAATCCTCCTATGTTCCTATCAGAATGCCAACATGCTCTTCTTCCCAAACACTTGAATTTCCTGGTCTGTGCTTCCGTCAGCAGGTGGCATTGAGCATCTTTCTGCTCAGTGGAACTGCTTCAGTGATGAGGAAGGCCCTAAAGTGGGTTTGTGAGCACAGGCAGTGAAGTGCCTGTTGGAATGGCCCTCCATTCCTTGCCCTGGGAGTCCCGAGCATGAAGTAATAGTGTGAGAGCTCTCAAGGAGCCATGGCATCCTGACACTTGTCTTCTCTCTCTTAGGCAACAGTTACAACACTCCACAAACCAACTCGCCAAGGAAACAAATGAATTGCTGAAGGAATTAGGGTCTTTGCCCCTACCCTTGTCTGCATCAGAGCAGGTTGGTATCTTCTGTTTTGTTTATTAGTAGGAAAGGACTTTATTCTGATAGAGTAGTGGTATGTGGGACAAAAGCTCTAGGAGGGCTCTGGTCTTGATAGATTTCCTTGAACTATAATTTCCTTAGCATGTATTATAGCTTCATTTCTGTTGTTGTAATAAAATACTACAACAGAAAGCAACCTAGAGGAGGTTTGTTTGTTTTTTGCTGTTGTTTGTTTGTTTTAGTTCACAATTCCAGGTTACAGTCTATTGTGGGAAAAATCACGGTAGCAGAACTTGAAGCCACTGGTCACATCTCATCCACAGCCAAAGCAGAGAGACATGCATGCTTGTTCTTTTCCACATGTGTGCTCAGCTCTGTTTTTCCACTGTTACATGGTTCATCATTTCCTGCCTAGGAAACGATGCTGCCTACAGTGGGTTGGATCCTCCTACTCTAATTAATTAAGGCTGTCTCCCATAGACATGCTGACAGGCCAACCCAGTGTAAACAGTCTCACGTAATTATAGGTTTGGTAACAATGACCATTGAAGTTAACCACACCACCTGTACAGAGAGGCAGCGTGACTGTTGTGGAGATAATGTATGTACCAGGTTTAGCAAAGTGCCTGGCACTCAGCATGTACTGAGTGTATAATGGCTATTGCTGTTATTAATAATATATTACAATGTATTTAGCCACAGAGGGATCTCAATTGTTTGCATCTCTCTGGGGTTTGGTATCAGCTGTGCTTGCAGGCTAGATCCTTACATTGTTTTGTGCCTCATATCTATATTTTCAATTAAACATCTTTCATATTTTGCAGTCACTTCTGTATCTCACCAAAGTCACCCATAGGTCTTAGGGTAAAGGATGCCCAGGGAAGAATCGTCTTTTCTGGCTGGAGGATGCTCTGTAGTTGAGTGCTTGTGTACAGTACCTGCTTACAGCCTTGGGCTTGATCCCCAGTGTCACTGACAAAAAGCCAACTCAGTGAGTGTCTGAGTATAAATCTAATTAATCTTATCAATAAAAAAAACCCAGGAGTCAGAAATTGGGGTACAAACCTGAAAGATCAGAGAAGCAGGGGAGCAGCCATAGTCGTTTCCTACCTCTTCAGTTCCCCCATCCAAAAGGGCCCAGATCCCCTCTCAGCCCCGCCTCACCACTTCCTGTGTGCTATCTGTCCTCAGTTCTCCAAACCTCCATGGGCAGCTTTGTTAGTCAGAGCACAATGGAAATGCCACACAGCAGGTGTCCTCTGGCCATCTCTGTGTGACTCCCTTGGTGCTTGCTTATGCTGGCACTTGAGTGATGGGCGGCCCGGCTCCCTTCTGTCCAGCTTCTCCACATCATCCCTTTCCTTCTCCAGCTGTGCACTGAAGAAGCACACATTTGCCAATGCTGGTAGTTTTCCTGGTAATGAGAAGGAAGTCTAAAAGCCTAATTCAGGCAGAGCATTGTAAGTGCTTAAGAATTAAATAGTAGCCCAAGCAAAGTATAAATAGAAAGTTAGGTCTGCTACCAAAAAACTTCAACTAATGTGTTCCAAAGCCAAACACAAGTATATTTTTGGACTATAAATGTCGTTACTCCCTTCCATTAGCCTGAATCATTAAGAATACAAAATAGAGCTGCAAACATGCTCTCCTCAGTGAAATACAATTCTGTTTCTCCCCTGTTGTGCTGACTTTCCTCTGCCTTTTCCCTATCTCATGTGGCTCAGTCCCATCACTCACCTTCTTGCCAATGCCCCGTATCTTAGCCAGTTCCTCCTGCTTCCTGTCAGTGGCCAGTTCCTCTGACCTTTTTTTGGAGCCCCTATCTTTCAAGACTATTTCACTATGTACTCCAGTTTGCTCTAGAATTTCACCTCTGCCTCCTCATTGCTGGCTTCTTTTTTTTTTTTTTTTTTTTTTTTTTTGAGACAGGGTTTCTCTGTGGCTTTGGAGGCTGTCCTAGAACTAGCTCTTGTAGACCAGGCTGGTCTCAAACTCACAGAGATCCGCCTGCCTCTGCCTCCCGAGTGCTGGGATTACAGGCTTGCACCACCACCGCCCGGCTTCATTGCTGGTTTTTAGTACATAGCTTTTTTGTTTTCCTTGGTCCTCTCGCTTGATCTCTCTCTTCTGAAACTTACTCTTCCATGATGCTCTTCAACTCTGATGGTGCCAAAGATAAGTTTGGCACACCCCAAAGTTCTGCTGTTGATCCTCTGATTTCCTTACCCCATCCCTTCTTCCCCAGGAGCCTCACTTAAAGACTCCAGTGCTGCCTTTATCATGAGGGCACCCAGATATTTCCCCAAATTTTGTTCCAAAGTCTTCAGATTTGATTGTGCTGCGAGCTGCCTTTGCCAATGCCTGATCTGTTCTCTCCAACTTATTTGTGGTGCTGGGATGGGATGCAGAGCCTTGCATGTGCTAGATATCTGGTCTACCACTGAGCTGCTTATCCAGCCCTTGGCATGTCCTCTTGAATGTACTACCTCCCTATAAAGTACAGTAATGGTCTTCTTCTGAATTCCTCATTCAAACCTATGAGATAAGTTGATTGACTATCCCTATCATCATAGACATAAGTTATACATAAGGGCTGAGCACAGATAGCTCAATAGTAGAGCACTTAGCTGGCATGTACAAGGTCTTTGGTTCCATCCCCAGCACAGGAAGGAAAAAAAATTGTGCCTTTTGATCTAATCCCTAAGGAAAAAACAATTTGAAGGGGGGAATAAATGTATCTGTTTTGGAGTCAAGTGTAAATTACTATTACAATGGCTCACGTTAGCTTTATTTGTAGTGATTTAAAACTGGTAACAGTGGAAGGAATGTTTACATAAATGTACTAAAAACAGACTCAAAATATATGTAATAAAGTTCATAATTGTGAAGAGTATAGTAAAGCAGAAGATGTTCACGATATATTTTAAAAATAGTATTTTAGGGCTGAGGGTAACTCAATGGTAGGGCGGTTGCTTGGTATGTATAAGGCTCTGTGTTTGACCCAGTTAGTATTTTTTACTTATTTGTTTTGTTTGTTTATTGGTCTCTCTGTGTATTCCTGGGTGTCCTGGAACTCACTATGTATACCAGGCTGGCCTTGAACTCACAGAGATCCTCTTGCCTCTTCCTCCTGAGTGCTGAAATCAAAGGCGTGTACCATCACGCCCAGCTTCAGTAATTTTAGATGGCAAGACTGGGGGTAATATTCCTTCCCTTCTTGCTGCAGTCCTCCTGCCTTTGCTTCCTGAGTGCTGGGATTACAGCCCACAGAACTTTTTGGGAGGCTGTGTGTAACACGAATAATAAAAACCCAGAGGCAGGGCTAGAGAGATGGCTCTGTGGTTAAGAGTACTGACTGCTCTTCCAGAGGACCTAGGTTCAATTCCCAGCACCCACATGGCAGCTTACAGCTGTCAGCAACTCCAAGATCTGACACCCTCACACAGATATACATGCAGGCAAAACATCAGTGCAAATAAAATAAAATGAATGAATTATATAAAAGAGACTCCTTTAAGCCAAAACTAGTAAACAAAGCAAAACAACCCAGAGCTGATGATCAGATAAGCAAAGCACCCAGCTACTAGCTCTTACCTCTACCTCAGACTGAAAGGGTGAGCCAGCCAGCTCCACAAATCCTCAGACTGCATCCCTAGACTGCTGCCTCTCCTCAATGTGACTGGAGACTACATCTTCCATGAGACCCTTTGCCTCTTCCTTTCTGCCTCCCTCGTGCTGGGGTTGAAGGTGTGGGATCCCAAGTGCTGAGATCTTTGTGTGAGCTGTTCCTCTTTAGGACTGGATCAATTTCATGTAGCTCAGTGTGGCCTTGAACTCACAGAAATCCATCTGCTTGTCTCTTGAGTCCTGCCACCACCACCTGGCTCTATGACTTGCTAATATGGCTGCTGGGATTAAAGGTGTGCATCACCATTGCCTGGCTCTGTGGCTTGTGACCAGCTTTGCTTTCTGTACCCTCAGGCAAACTTTAATAAATCATAAATAATATATCACCACAGCAGTGGAGTAGGTGTTTGTTTGTTTGAGACAAGTCTCACTGTAACTCTGGCTGGCCTAGAACTGACTCTGTAGACCAGGCTGGCCTTGCACTCACAGAGGTTCACCTGCCTCTGCCTCCCAAGTGCTGAAATTAAAGGTATGTATCACTGTGCCAGCCTGTTATAATGTTTTAAATCCCAGAAAGAAGAAAAAAATTCCTCACCTAAACTTGCTTTCAAGTATAGCCATCACTTTCTGAGTCATTCTTGATTTTACCCCTCTTCCTTCATCTGTAGTTACTAAGTCATAATGTTTCTTAAATTCCTTTTTGTGATCCAATTACTGCCATTATATCCTCCTACCCATTAAACCTAGATTGTTGCAGTAAGTTTTTTCACTTCTTCCTGTTCCTGGTGGCATGCTGTCACAGTCTAATTTCTCCAAGTTAGTAGGTTGTACCTGTCAGATTGTGTTCTCTTCTCAGTTGCCATTGCTCTGTTCCTTAGAGGTGACCCCTGAATGCACTAGTTTGACATTTAGAACTGGCTAGTTAGCCCTTTCTTGCTTTTCCGTATTTATACACTTTGTTGATAATTTTCTATCTTTATGATGTGGAAAAATAAGCTATTTTTTGCCATTTAAAAGGTTATTTTTAAAAAACAATATTTAAGTCAGGCATGCTGGTACATATCTTTAATCCAGCACTGCAGCACTGCCATGGCTCTGTATCCTTATGTATAAGTGGAAGAAGCTGTTGAGAGTGGGATGCTGTTCCCCATCCATGTCTAGCCCAGCTCAGGTTCTCTCAGTTTGCTTTTTTTGAGAGACATCATTAGTAAGCTTAGTAAGGTAACCTGTAGCAAATAAAGTGCTTTTTAAGTTCTTGAAAAATATAAAACTCAAAAAGAAAAGCTGTCAAGGAAAATAATGATGGTTTCCAGGAAAGCCAGTAACTCAATATAAGGGAATACAGTTTCAATGTTTTCACAAAAAATACTTTCAGATCCAGTCTGAGCTCAAAGGCCTTAACTATGCATTTAGATTCTCCAGGAAACAAGTATAACAAATTACAGTTCCTTTTGAGCTATGAGGTAAGTGACTCCTGGGTCTCAGGATCATGAATGTGCTTTGACCTGTTTCATAGGGTTAACCTGGGATTTGGTTTAGGAAAGAACAAACTAACTTAAGGAAGAGCCTATTTTGTAATTTTGTAATAATTTTTATACTTCGAAATCTCTTAGATATATAATTGTGCTTTAAACAGGCATTAAAACCAAGTGACTCTGAGTTTGTCTGAAATTTCAAGTTCTTGCTTGGTTTCTTTAGCGCCAGCAGAGGCTTCAGAAGGAACGTCTCATGAATGACTTCTCGTCGGCCTTGAACAACTTCCAGGCTGTGCAGAGAAAGGTGTCTGAGAAGGAGAAAGAAAGTATCGCCAGAGCAAGAGCTGGGTCTCGTCTTTCTGTAAGTTCATTCCCAAGAGAAGACCTTTGCAAGCCCAGAATCTACCCCAGACGTGTCCCCTCCATGCCACTGCCTTGTCCACTCCATGTCACCAGCCTCGTCCTCTGCAGAGTGCTTCATGTTCTTGGGTCTACACTGAGGCAGATTTGCTTTCATCCATTTCATACTGTTTCTCACTCAAGACAAATTGTCATTACTCAAGAGTCCTGTGTCAGCTTATAGATGCTGTTAGAGGGGAGGGTGTGTCACTCCTTGGTCCTACAGCTAAGGCAACTCTTGTTTTGTGTGTGTCTCTGGCATGGTTTTTTGGATAACAGCAGCGATAATGCCATCTGCTTTCTAGGCAGAAGACAGGCAAAAAGAGGAGCAGCTCGTCTCATTTGACAGGTAAAGAGTCTCTCACCCAGCCTGCTGGACAGTCACTGTGACTCCACATCTTCGTGTCTGTTATTATGTCATTCTTTTTTATGTTTATGGGGGTTTCGCTTGCATGTAATTCTATGCAGCATGCAAATGCCTGGCACCCACAGAGACCAGAAGAGAGCTTCAGAGCCTCTGGAACTGGAGTTTCAGATGGTTGTGAGCTACTATGTGGGTGCTGGGAATCAAACCTGGGTACTCAGAAAGAGCAATCAGTGCTCTTGACGGTTGAACATTCTCTCCAGTCTCTTCGTGAATATTTTTACTTTTTTAACCAAATCAGGGCTGGGTGTATTGGTGGGCACTCCTTTAATCCCAGCATTTGGATGGGAAGAAGCAGGTGGATCTCTGAGTTTGAGGTCATGCTGGTCTACATAGTGAGTTCCAGGGTAGCCAGGGCTACATGGTGAGACCCTGTTTTCTTGGGGATGAGGTAGAAAGATCAAAAGAGTTGGAAGATAGCCTACACTACAAAGCTTGACACTCAAGTAAGTAAATGAATAAATAGAGTTGGAGAGATGACTCAGTGGT